GTTAGTGAAAACTTCCCATTCAGGAACTTGGGAACCTCTTGTGGTCTGTAGGCCCAAGGTTAAGAAAGTTCTGGAATGGGGACACTGTGTGGGTGTGACACTAGGTCCTGGGGACAGTACTATAGGGTTCAAAGTTAGCTCAGGGACAGAGAGCACACTTTCTGGGCCTCAGTCTGTTCATCTATAAAGAGGAGAGAGTTGAGGTGAGGATGAACTCAGAAAATATATAACACATTCAGTCAGTGCCTGGCACATGGAGGATTTGGTATTAAATAGGAGCTTTTGATATCCTAGGGGCAGTTTTGGTTCACACAAGTAGCCATCCAGACATTGTGAGCTTTTTTCTCTCCAATTACTATTCAATTTTAGCAAATGTACACATTTTAAAACTTGTATGTCCAACCCACGGCCTACTGGCTGCATGTGGCCCTGGACAGCTAGTACTGTGGCTTCATAGGATTTGTAAACTTTTAACATTATTATGTGATTTTTAAGTGGTCGTTTTCAGGACGCTGTCCTGTTGTGCCCTGGAGCAGACTTCCAAAGTGACAATGGAACCAGATATTGATGCGTTAGTGTCACAGAGCAGTTTCAAATGTCCCACTAGTTTTGTGTTTAATGTTGTTGTCTTTGTCACATACCATAATAAAAGTGCAGAAAAGAAAGTTTTATCATTCATATACTTTAACTATATTATGTGTTTTATATGCAGCTGCCCAAGAGAGTTCTTCTTCGTGCAGCATGAGCCTAGCAAGCCAGGCAAGCCAAAAAGTTGGACTCCATGGGTTAGGTCATACATTGGTAGTCTCTTTAGAAGTCTTATTTAGAGGCTGGAGGGGTAGCTCAGTATTAGAGCTCTTGCCTAGCATGTGTAAGGCCCTAGGTTTGAACCTCAGCACTCAAAAAAAAAAAAAAAAAAAAATCCTATTTACCAAAGGTTAGCCGTACCACTTTGAACAGGTTTTTGAATAACCTTGGTGTGCAAACTTAAATACTTTCAAAGATTTTAAATTGCATTTATAAAAATGAAAGATTTCTTTTTCATTGTTACATATTAATGACATAGAAGAATGAGATTTGTCTTGCTAAAGTGGCACATGCATATAACATATTTTAATTACTTTTCCTTAATCTCATTGCCCTCTCCCCCTTGCTTCTCCTTTTGCCCCAACCCCTTCCCATCTATGGAAGACTACTTTCTAGCTTGCTGTCTCCGACTACATTTCTAAATATGATAATAGGCTAGCTAGCCCTTTGCTACTCAGGGTACTTCAAGCACTTGTCAGATGCAAAACCTTGTCCCCCCCCACCAACTGCAGGAGACTTTACATTTTTGTCAGATTCCCAGTGATCAGCGTGCTTGGTGAAACTCACTGGCAAGTAGAGTTTTTCTAAAGTAATTTATTAACTTTGATAGGCACAATACATGAATATTGTGTTATCTTAAATGTTCCAGCAATCAGTGTAAACTTAATACAATGGACCTTATCTTCGTATGCTAAGTCATTTACTCCAACATTCATTTTGAACTGGCATTGGAAGATTGTTTTCTTAACCTAATGGGACAAATTTTTTCAAGCGTTCCAAGAGCACAAGATACTAAATATGCACAAATTCTTCTTTATTTCCATTATATTGCATACTATAATTGTGAATTATCTAAGCTTTTATTACTCAAATTTAATTATCTCAGGGTCTTGGGAGAGATTTATTTACTAAGAATAAATTGTCTTTTTTAGCTCACTGGCTAATTCTATCAAATATTAAAAAATTAATCCCAATCCTACACCAGCTCTTTCAGAAAATGGAGCAAAGAACATTATATAACTCATGTTATGAGGTCACTATGACTCCGATAAAGACACCAAAAGAAAACTATAGACACAGCCTTCATGAATTTAGATGCAAAAATTCTCAAAATATTAGCAAACTGAATATATCAGTACATAAAAGGATTATGTACCATGACCAAGTGGGGTTTATGTCACTTCATTTTGGAGGTTATCTTCCCATGTAATTTTGGGGATCACCCTATCCTTATACAGTGGTACCTCAGTTCACAAACTTTTTCATGATTCTGGCTGCAAACTAAACTGGATGAGAACTAAATTAGATTTCCCCATAAGGTCAACACTGAATCTAACCACTGAATTTGATTTGGTTCTTGTCCAATTCACTTTGCATCCAGAATCATGGAAAGAATTAAGTTCGTGAACTGAGGTACCACTGTATAATATAATATTAGCAGTTTAGATTCTGGATATCTTCTATGGCTCCATCTAGTCAGTCACAAGTCCTTGTGTTGACAGGTATATTAATCTGGTGTCTGTGAACTGAAAAGCAGAAATATGTACCAGGGCAAAGGCTTTATAGGAGTCTGTTGTTAGTCAGCTTCCTGTTGCTACAACAAAATATCTGAGCGTCACTGTGACAACATATCTGACATGAAGAACTTGAACCTTGACAGGTTTATTTTGGCTCTGGTTTTCAGAAGTTTTAATGAATGGTCAACTGGCTCCATGGCTTTTAGGCTTGTGGCAAGGCAGAAACATCCTGTGGAAGGGCATGACAGAGGAAAGCTGCTTACCTTGTGGCAGCTGTGAAGCACAGCAAGAAGGAAAGAGTCGGAGAGAAAGGACAAAATACAATGGGGACAAAAAATGGACACCTTCTAGGTCATGGCCCCAGGGACCTACTGTTCTAACCAGGTCCTACCTCCTAATAGCAGATTCAGCTATAAACTCATCCATGGATTAGTCCACTGGTGTATTTTGTGTCCCCTGATCTAATCACCTTCCAAAAATCAGTACACATGAGCTTTTTAGGGGATGTTTTTGAAGCAAACCATAGCACCAAGATAATCAGTTTATAAGGGAGAAAGGTTCACTTTGGCTTACAGATTCAGAGGTTTCAGTCCATGGTTAATTGGCCCCATTGCATCTGGGTCTGTGGAGAGCCAGAACATCATGGTGGGGAGCACCTGGTAGGTGGAGATACTTCACAGTGGCTGGGAAACAGGAAAAAGAGGAGAGGATGGAGTCCAATAGCCCTTCCAAGAACACGTCCCTGTGATCTAATATCCTTCTACTAGGCCCCACCCCTAAAGCTTCCATCATTTCCCATTAGTGTTAAACCTTCAACATATGGACTTTTAGAGATGTTTAAGAGCCAAACTATAGCAGAGCCTAAGTTGGTGTGGAAGAGCCATACCAAGGGGCTGGGGATTTAGCTCAGTGGCACAGTGCCTGCCTGGCAAGTGTGAGGTCATAAGTTCGATTCCCAGTACCAGAAAACAAAACAAAACAAAAAAGAAGAGCCATACCAATTTAGACTCTGCTAAGTTAGTGTGGACTCACACTGATCAAGGAGTATGATTTTGTGTCTGAGGAGGCAGCTATGATGGAAAATTCTAGAAGGAGAGGGAAGAGAATGTGTAAACATCTGTCTCTTCCAATAGTAAGGTGGGGGTTGGGAGTGAGAAACCAACAGATACACTATCCAAGGGTATAAGAGCAAAGACAACCTAAGAAGGTTGTCCTTAAGAAAGTGGGTGTGACAATGTCTACAAAGCTCTCTCCCACCTCTGCTGTCAGTGGATGTGTAACAAGGTTCTCTTTTCTTTCCTTTAAAGAGTATAATTTTTAAACATAATATCATACAGTAATTATATTTTTATTCCTTGTCTTTAAGGAACTCAAGACCACTACTCTGAATAAAGGGTGTGTAGAGCCAACTTCCACAGATTTGATAAGGGTCATACGTATTTCATTGGCTGGGCTAATTGTGATTACTTTCATTCTCTTGCATAATTTCATTTCCTTCAAGAAACTTCATGAACTTCATGAACTTCCTGTTGGCAAAGATAGTAAGAGCAAGAGGTATGAGCTAAGCTTTATCATTTGCAAACATTTGTATCAGGATGAGAATAATGCTCTATCTTATGGTCAGCTACTGAAATTCATTGAAAATAGCTGGAAATCGCAGAGACCTGCAAGAAAATGAAAGAGATTTCTGTCTGTGTAGTTAGCAACATGAGACAATAAAGCATCATGTACATAGGTAACATGTGACTCCAATCAGCTACCATTTATTGACTATGAAATATACACTGTGCTTACGCACACACACACACAATTTAATTCTCACAAAAACCTGGGATAGATTTAAACGCTTCCCTTTAACCTCCAAGAAAACTGAGTCAGAGAAATTAAGTGACTCTCCCAAGGTCACGCAGCTAGAAAGTAGCCAAACCAGATTTAAACTTAGGCAGAGCTTAGGCTCCTAGAACAAAAGCAGTGAAAAGTTGTAGTACAAAGTTTTAAGGATTAAGAGATTTGATTCATATTTAATTTTCTGGGACTTAGGCAAGCTATTTCATTTGCATGAGCCTCAATTATCCTTATCTGAAAAATGGTCCCTGTTTTCACTGGGTTGTTCTGAGCGATGGTGCAGACTGCGTGGACAGTAGGTGCTCAGCAAGGTCAAGTGAACTAAAAATAAACTCCCATCACTGGTGACCCAGGGAGCCCTGCATCTCTCCAATGCCAGGGTCTGAGGTGATTATAGATGATTTCACTTAAAAAAAAAATACAAACAAGACCTGAAATTTAAAGGGCATCCAAAAATGGTCTACATAATGCTGTTAAATAAATACCTGCCTACTGTCTCTGTCCCGCATGCTTTCAATGCAGGGCCTCAGGCAGGCAAGGCAGGCACTCAACCACCGAGCTGCACCGCAGTCTCTTTCCCACCGGTTTGTGCAAGCTCCCAAGTGTTTCTCCTCTGGCACGCGGCGTACCTCTCAAGGAGTGGCCCTCGGACAGAAGGCAGTCACACACAGGTCCCCTCCCTATTGGGCACCGCGGTAACAGGGCGTTGCTCACCGCACGCAGCAGGATTACGCACGGCGGGGGAGGGAGAGCTGGCCGCAGTCCTGCCCGCAGCGCGCCTCCACCGGCCGGGGCGGGGCCGAGGGCGGGGCGGGGCCCAGGGCGCCGGGTGGCAGGGGCGGGTTTAAGAGCTCGGCGTGCGCGGACCCGCGGGAGAACCCGGCAGCTGCTGGCTGAGCACCCAAGCCCTGCGCCACGCACGCGCCCGGGCCCCGCGCTGCTGTCACCTTCGCTTGGGGAAGGAGCCTCGCGCACCATGCCCCGCATAGATGCGGACCTCAAGCTGGACTTCAAAGATGTCCTGCTCCGACCTAAGCGGAGCAGCCTTAAGAGCCGCGCCGAGGTGGGGGCGGTTCCAAAGCCGCCTTGGGGCTGGGGATTTTTTTTTTTTCTGGGTGCCCTAGGGTAGGGTGGGTTGGGTGGCAGGGGGCGGCGCAGGGTTTTTCTCTGGCTTTGCGCGTCTGGGGCTGAGGTGCTGTGCCCCTTTGCGCTCCCCACCACGCGGGTCCCTGCCAGAGCGCGGGTTCGTCTATAAGGGTGCGGATAAAGGGGCCCAGCGCGGGCCTGAAATTCTACAAGAGTCAGTCGGGTCGGTGAACAAGGGGAAGTTGACGCTGAAACTAGACCACGGAGGAGAAAAATCCGGTGGCCGATGGGTTTAGAAAGAATGGGGGTGGGGAGCTGCCCGCCGGGAGAGAAGGAAACGCTGGAGGTTGGGTGGGAAGGAGGGAAGAACACGAGCGAGCCTAGGGGTTTTTGGCCGTGTCTCCCGGTGCTGACAGCTGCTGCTTTAGCATCAGGTCCAACAGTGGAATTTCTTGCACGGGTCTGCAGTGCAGGGGGACCTTCCGTACCCCAGTTTAGGGTGTGCTTTCTTTTGCTGGGAACGGAGCTCGGGGATCCCCCGGTGGACTCGCGGTGCTTCGTGGGCAGCCGTCAGAGAAACCCAAAGCACTGGGATGCGGTGGTAGGAGGAGTTGGAAGCTGCGGGATTTTACTGCTTCTGCCTTCAGGAGATCAAAGTTTAAGGAACAGGTGGAGACGGGACTGGAAATAGCTCGGGCTGGGGGTGGGGTGGCGTGGGGTGGGAATGGAGGTCAGACGGTGAAGGGTAAACTAGTTTCGCGGGAAGGCAGAGGTCCCCTGCAGAAGTTGTGTGAAGGGCCGGTGGCTTTGCGTGGTCTGCGGTAACTGGGGAGGCAGAGGCAGAAAGACGCGCTCCGTTAGGCTGGCGCTGGAGGAGTAAACAGGAGGAGGTGGATCTAGTGGGTGCTGGCTCGGTCTCCGGTTCCATAAACAAGACCATAAATAAGTCCCCAGCAAAGATCTCCACTCCAGGGCCCAGGCCTGACTGCAGTGCCCGATGCTGCCAGCTGAGGGCTTGTTTGGATTAGGGCAGCCTCTTGCCTTAGCCAGTGAGCAGAACCAAGTCACTCTGTCTAAGCAGAACCAAGTCACTCTGTCTAAGCAGCGGCAGTGGCTGGCTGGAGCCAGGACCGGAAAGAGTGGAGGAGGAGTGATGGCCTCTTAGCACCCTGGGTGAGATGCATGCCCCTCTGTTTGCCCTTCATTGTGACCCTTAAATTGCTAAAGAGCAGGGCAAACTCTTGGAACAAAATAACCAGTTTGGAGGGCAGTCCTGAGCCTCCGGAAGTATGAGCAGTAGCCAGTCCTTACTAAGGCCAGATCGAGACAAAGTACAGGGCTTCTCGGCAGACTAATTTGGCGACCTCAATATTTAAATATTTGTTCAGAGTATATTTAGGAGTGAGAAGCTTGTGTGAAAGACAAGTTATATGTTCAAAACAAGGATATACATATTTTCTGAACCAGAAAACGTCCTGAGAAGGTACAAACGTTAAACATTTACGTAATGGACTGGATTATTCCCTCCCAGGGAATAGTGTGACGTCATGCAACACTTGGTTTTGTCATTTGGGCTGATTGCCACTGTGACTGTTGTCCCAGCAGCCTGTGACGGCACCTTGCAATCTACATGTGCACACTGCAATGAGAAATCTGAACCCCTGAGAACTTTTTTCATAGTTTCACCTTTCGCCAGCTCTGTGCCTGGAAACTGGAGTTAAGTTAATGGATATTTTAGTTCTAGTTTTCCTAATGCTCCCTAGGGCAGGAGACTGCTGCCTGGCTGGCTGTACCCCAACATCTGATTTTATCCCCCATAATCTGAATTTACTTGACTTAGTGGTCTTGAGGGATCTAGTTAGGCCTGTCTAATTCCCTCTCAATGTTTCTCCTGTTTTCTTGTCCATGCTTGAAATTTCTTGTAGGCAGATACAGATGTCTCATTGTATAATCAGCAGCTTAAAATGTGTGTGTGCTCTGGTAGAAGTAATAATACCCGGATGCAAATTCTAGTCCAGTGGTGGCAAGCTCACTGAAAGCTTTGAAAGCTTCCATCACTGTTTTAGTCAGTGACTGACAGTGAACAAAGTGTGGGTTTGAGTGGAACCAGGAGAGAGAACCTATGTCAGCGTGCAGAATCTGCCGGAGAAAAGTTTTGACAGCCAGGGAGGAGCTTTACCACCACACAGTTTTGTCTAGCTCCGGGCTCAGCGATGGATCACCAAGCGTGAACAGGAAGTAGAAAGGCAGCATGCTCCCCCGCTGAGAAGCTTAGTTCTCCTGTAGGGACAGTTTGATTAGCTTCACATCAAAGGATTTAGGGTCAGCTTCAGAGGCAAGGAGTATAGGCAGAGGGACACCTAGGCACAGGTGTCCCTAGTGCGGGGGTTCACCTGTCTCCTAGCTGTCTCCTTGCTGTCGAGCTCCTAGTGCAGCAGTCTGCAGTGTCTCAGGGGTCACGTGTGGAACATTTGAGTAATCCTCAGAGAATCTGACCTTTGTATTGAGGCAAGACCTTGGTCCTTCACTGATCCACTGGGAAGCTGGCGCCATTTTTTGTCTCCTAAAGGGATTTCTTTCTTGGGACACAGTCTTGACTCTGACATCCTGCTGTAGTCCTCAGGCTAGCAGGCCACCCACTTGCCATTCTTTGCCCGGGAATGTGGGGCTGGGAGAAAGAGGCCTGGGTTTAAATCTACACTCTGTCACTAATTATTGTATTATCATTGTGTTACTTTTCCATGGGGCTACTATAAAAGGTACTGCCCCAAAGGGCATGGCTTTATCAACAAAAATTTACCATCTCTGTGGAAGCTCGAAGTCCCCGGTCCAGATGCCAGCAGGGTTGCTTTCTTCTGAGGGCTGTGAGGAGAATCTTCCATGCCTCCTACCAACTTCGGCTGGTTTTGTGGGAGTCCCTGGCATTCCTTGGTTGGTAGATGCACCACCCCATCCCTGCCTTCGTTTCTATGCAGTGTTTTGCCTCTGCCGGTTTGTGACCAGATATTTTTTCCTTTTCTAAGAACATCAGTCATACTGGACTAGGACTCACTCTAAATGACCTCATCTTAAATTGGTTACCTGCAAAGGCCCTATTTCCAAATAATGTCACCTTCATGGGTACTATAGATTAGGACTTCAGCATCATTTTAGGGGGAGACACATTTCATCTCCTAACAGCCTGAGTAAATTTCGCTCTGTAAAATTAGAGGGTTTGACTAGCCTTGTTCTTCATTGCGAATGCGTCAGGATTACTGAGGGAGACGCTCCAGACACACGTATTGTCTCCAGCACCAAGGTTTTGATTTAGGAAGTTGGAGGCAGCTTGAGTGTGTTTTTAGAATATAAGCTTTCAGCTGTGTCCATGGCTGCCCTGGCCTGACGTCTGTTGCTCCTGTTTGTGGGACCTGTAGCTCGCTGGTGAGGCTGCAGCTGTGTGTGAGCTTCTCTGAAGCCTGAGAGCTGAACATGAGGTTTCTAGGGATGGGGGTCTGTGTCCATGGGGCTAGACAGTCCCCCAAGCATTGCCCTGCAAAAAGCTGGGGCAGAGCTCAGGATCCCTCTTAGCCTTTAAACATAAGTTAGTGTATTCTATACTGTTGAGCCGCTAGGGCAACAGACATGAAAGATCTGGTTCCACTGCTCAGAAGAGATAGCTAATGAAGAATCTAGATAATTGCTGTCCTCACTGCCATCTGCAGATCTAGGAAAAAGGCCCTGTCCTGCGTCCCTGGTGGCACCTGAATGGGCCTGGCCTTGTGGCTCTGCTATTCCTTCTGGCGCATGTGCTGCAGGTCTCAGGCCCCTGGAAACCCTTCCCCTGATAAATTCAAGATGATGCCAAAGTCTGCCTGAACCACTTCCCCAGGTGTGTTGTCCCAAGCTGCTGGGGTGCTGCTCTGTAACCCAGAAGGTGGTCAAGGGGCAGCTCTTTATGCACCTGCGAACACAAGAGTGTGCACAGAGCTTAATGTGCCGACTGGGGTGCTGGTGTGTTCGCAGAAATATTTGTGTGGGAAGATAGCATGGACAGGGACCACGCTGGCCCCCTGACCTCCTATTATCAGTGCCTTCCTGGTCTGTGGCTGTCGCCGCTTTTTGTGATGCGGGAGGGTAGAGCGGTTTGCTGTAGCAGCTTGTTAGCTGGAACTACACCTTGAATTATTTAGAAATGTGCCTGTGGGCCTCCCTTTGTGCTCCTGAGCCCCAGAAGGCTGGGTGGTTGGGCTGACTCAAAGGTGTGCATGGAGAACAGGGTTTTGAGGTTTGGCAGGTGACTTTGGTGACTTTGTTCCCTCTCAGAGGAATCTTGGCAGAGTGGGAAATTAGCGTTGTTGCAATTGGTGCGTTGCTCAGCTGTGGCAGATTCAATGCCAAGTTTTGTTCTGGGAGGCTCGTGTCTTTAAAGTATTATCTTTGAGGGAGCAACTGGTCTGTTTGGGGTGCGTGTGTCTGAACAGATAAGGTTGGGAAGATAGTTTCATTTCTCGTTCTTAGAATTAGCACTGCAAAGACTCTGCCTTATGTCTTTTTCGGGGGAGGTGTGTAGAGGTCTAACTTTGGGCCTCGTGTGTATGTGAAGCATGCCTTCTACCATTGAGCTACACCCGCTGCCCCATGAATCCACCTTGTGGAGTTGACTAGGAATAATGAAGGGAAGGCTCATCGTCAAGGCTTCCGTTTACCATGAAGCTTTTTTTTTTTTGGATACTGCTGATAGGTTTGGGAGTGCCAAGAAAAAGCCACTGTGATCTCAGACCTGTGCAGAGTGTAGCAGCTCACTCCCTACGCATCTTGGAGGAGTGGAAGAGTAATTTGAGGCCGAGGAATTCTGATTGTTTTAAGCCCTGAGCCAAAATGAGGCCATTAGCAGCACAGAAGGTTGCAACTAATAGAGTCCCTGGGTAGGTTCGCAGAATGTCGGTAGAGCTTGCTTCACCGGCGTAGAACTGAGAATCATCGTGAAGGAAGTGGAGGAAGGGATGCAGCCCCACAGATGTTCCTGTAATGACAGCATCTCGTTTCCCCTCGCCGACGGCTGCTTACAGCCCTCACACTTACATGTGTGACAGCAGGAAGCCTTTGGATGTGGAGCTCTGAGTGGAGAAGCCAGAGATGCAGGAAAGGCTGAGGATCTGAGATGCCCCCCAGTGCTTTCTGGCACGATGCTGATTATAAAGTGCAAGTTGTCTCAAGCGGGAAGAATAAAAGAAGGATCTAGATAAGTGCTCAGGAAGCTAGGATTCGTGTAGGTCTAGATTATAGGTCTGCGGTTATGCGCTTATGCAGAAGCGTAAGATTCACACCTGCTTCTTGGGCCGGTTTACCTTGGGTGGTCACCTCCCTGCAGTGCAATCTGCGCTCATCGGGATCCAGCCGTGAAATTAAACACTGCACAGCATTTCAAGCAAGGAATTTAACGTAGGGGGTCCTGACACCACTGAGATACCAAACAGGATAGCGAGGCACCCCAGAGATTGGCAACAGCAAGAAATGTTTCCCCACCCTAGGATAAGGGTCTGTGGGAGGGGATAGACTCACCCTGAGGAAGTTGGAATCAGGAAGGCAAAGGCCTGAAAGGGACACAGCTGCTAGAAGACACCCTCGGTATTGGGGGTCTGGCTATGTCTTCCCCCACCTACCCCTCTGTCCTCCAGTTCCTCCTGCAGTGAGTGTCCTCCACGGGCCAAACTCCGCCAGAAGTGAACCTGAGAACTGAGCCATGTAGGGGTGGCCTCTCCAAAGGACAAGCCCAGGACCTGCCCTGGGTCATGGTCCTGGTGATTCTGAGACCACTGGAGGTGCTGCAGTGCCTAGTCCCAGCACTCTGCGTCTGCTAAACTTGCTGTCCTGCCCGGGCTGTGGTGGTGGATTCCTTACTGCTGCTGGTTTCACACGCCCTGAAGTTGGAGTTGGAGTAGCATCAGGAGGCCTGCCCTCCAGCTGTTTGCGAGTCACAGGAGCAAGTGTTTGTTTACATGCATGAACATATGGTGGCAGTGTACTCCCCTCCAGCTCTTTAAAACCTGCTCATGATTACAAGCCAGCTGCAGAGGTTGAAAGGCTAAGGGATTAATGGTTTGGAGCTCACAGCTGGGTGAATTTGGAGTGCAGTTCTAGGTGAAAGGTGAGAGTCCCAGGGATTCCGACAGGAGGAGAGTCACTGTTGGCAGGGAGGAGCGGAGTGGATTTTCTCAGAAGGGGGTTGGTCCCTTCGGGGCTTGGGACTGGGGAAAAGGTAACATATATGTGGATAGTTAGAGCCAACACGACCTAGGCTGGGAATAGAAGGTAGCAGTGGGATTGGCGAGGTTGATGGTAGAGGTTTCTGATTTGGGGCTTTGGCTTTATGGCAGAGTATCCAGTGTCTTGTACTGGTACTTGAGGATTGCAGGGGCCATTTGAGGTTTTGCATGTGAATATACCTGTTACTTGGTTTCCTCATGGACTGCCCAGGTGTCTCTGGAACCCCTGGCCCAAGCCTGAAGAGAATCCAGGGACCAAGGGTTGGACACTCACTCTGGGATCTTCCTACCCCTCTGAACAGAGAATCTCTGCACGTGGCACTTGAGATCAAACACTCATTTCTTCCCCCTTTTGGCCAACAGGTGAATCTTGAGAATACATTTACATTTCGAAACTCGAAGCAGACCTACTCTGGGATCCCCATCATCGTGGCCAACATGGACACCGTGGGGACATTTGAGATGGCAGTTGTGATGTCACAGGTGAGATGTGGTCCCCTCCTTTTTTTTAACCTTTGCTGGTCACACTATGTACAAGTTGTCAAGAGCGTACTGTGGACTTTGTCACGTCCTTTGTGTCATTCTTTGCTTCGAGTTTGGTTGTGGCTGAACACATCTTTTTGGGGGGCGATGTGGATATATCTTTCTTCCTCCGCTTTGGTCTGAAGACGGATGGTGTGTGATTCTGCGTTCAGTGAGATGAACTAGATCTGCATCGATTTCTTCTGTGGAAACCCCTGAGATGGTTTTGGAAATTAGAGATTCAAAGAGAAGTTAGATAGCAGGATGAGTGTCATATTACAGAAGAATGATGTTGCCTGTAAAGTCAAGATAGAGCTTTGTATGCTGTCTGTAATGTCGCATTTACTACGGAAAGATGTAGAAAAATCCATTGAGCACTACAGCACATAATGCAGCTCTTCATTCTTGTCACACCTCCTCAAGGTAGGTTCCTTTTCAGCAGGAAGAAATTGAGGCAGAGAGAAAGAGGAAGGGTAATTTATTCCAGGGCCCTCAGCCAGACAGAGAGGCGGAACTCACAGCTGAACCAGCTCCAGAATCTAAGGGATTTACCTCTCATTCAAATACAGAGTCAGTAGAAGCTCAAATTTCCTTTTAGCCAACTGCCAATCTAATTGCGGATAGAGGGAGTAGCTAGTATCTTGGCCTTGGGAAAAATAAAGGAAATGTGCATTTGTGGCAGGACCCTTTTCCCACACAGGTGTGTGTGAGGTACCACAGCATCTTACGCATCCTGGTTGTGAAATGTTTGCTGCCAGTGCACACAGGAGCTGTGTATCTATTTCTGTTGATAATGCCTGCCAAGTGCAAAGAGAAATCCAATTAGTTGAAGGAACTTCTCACTGTGGGCAGCGAGTCTAACCGCAGGAGGTGCTGAGATTCATTATTAGGCAGTGATTAGGAGGAAGAGATTCTCAAATTATGAGCTCAAAAAGTGGAGTAGGGGGCAGTCCATCTGACTCCACGGTTGGTTGTCTTGTCAGTCAAATCTCAGTTGAGCTTTGGGCCAGAGGCTGACAAATTAATTGCTGGAGGAATATAGTCATTTCTTTCTGTCCACCTTTTCCTTGTTCTGCTGTCATTAGGCATGGGCGCGAAGGGACCGTGTGTTAACATCTCCTTTGGTTCTGTAAGTGTCCCGCAAAGGTCCATGTGTTAAAGACTTGGTCCACAGGACAGTGCCTTTAGGAAGTGAGACCTAGGAGGAGGTCTTTAGGTACTGGGGACACTCCTTGAAGGGGACTGTGCCATTTTTGTTTTCTCGGCACAGGGATGAGGGGAGTGGTTTTGTTCTGTGCTGCCTTGCCATAGGCTCAGGACACTGAGCCAAGATAAACCTTTTCTCTTTATAAGTCAGTTCTGTTTCAGGTATTGTGTCACAGTGGCAGAAAGCTGCTTAACACTGTATAAAAGTAGGGAGAGTCAGGGAGCAGTAAGTAGCCTAGTTAATTCACATACCCGATTGCAGTCTATGAAAATCCTGCAACTTGTTGTGCACTTCCTTTTCCTGGGACAGTTTTCCACAATGAGACAGCACATACTGACATAGCTAGCCATGTGTGGGAACCATGGATTTTCCATTTCTGGGATCCCCGGGGTGAGTGCAAGTTAATAAGGTCATAAAATTTTGAAGTGAGAAATTGTAGGTGAGGAAATAGGCAGCCCCAGAAGTCAGAGAGTCCCCAGTTATGTGGGATTTGAGCCTGAGCTCGCAAGTCATTTTGGAGCTGATTCAGGCCTTTGCCCCTTTCCTGCCAAGCAATTGCCAAGTTTTTTAAGCTTTGTTTCTGCCCACACAGCTGATAATAATGTTGCTCAGAGGATGAAATGAATAATGTCTGCAAAGCATTGGCACAGGGATCTTAAAGGCTCGGGATGGTCACAGATTTAAGGTTATATAATTTGAGACAGGGGTCTCCCTAGGCAGTTCCTACTGGTCTGAACTCACTATGTAGCTCAGGCTGGCCTTGAACTAGCTGCGATCCTCCTGCCCCAGCCTCCTGAGTGCTGAGATTACAGGTGTGCACCACCACACCTGGTAGGTTTAGCTTTCAGGAAGGTGTGTTTCATGTTTTACTTGTGAAAATAAAATAAAACTTTCAGACCTAAGGTGAAGTTCTTTGGGTTGATTGACAGAAGTCTGTGTTCGGATGGCTCATGTGCTGGGCAGGGGCGTGCTGCATGGCTTTCTTTGGGGCCATCTGCTGCTCCTGGCCTGACTCAGGTCTGGAAGGGAGCCCGGGTGGCTGCGGTGGGTCTCTGAGAAGGCCCGTATTCCTCCCTTGCCTCCTGGCAGAGCAGCCTCAGGTCCTGAACTCAGTATTGTCTGATCAGATTAGAATGGGAAACAGTGATTTCAGTGTTACACTTTTGTCTATTTTTGGCTCCCAGGATCATATTGAAAGCAAATTAAGCCTGAGTGGCAGGAGCAGCAGATGCCTCTGTCTTGTTGGCTCACCACCTGCAGGTGGAGGAGGGCAGGGGGCTCCCTGGGCTTCTCACCCTAATGATGTGGTTTTGTTTCCTAGCACTCCATGTTTACAGCGATTCATAAGCATTACACGCTGGATGACTGGAAGTGCTTTGCCACGCTGCACCCCGAATGCCTGCCGGTATGACGATGACCTGGGTTTAAATTGCGAGGGCTGGAGTGGGGGAGCAGAAACGCTTCAGCGATGTCAAGAGCAGTGGAGTTAGCAGGGAGACTCCCAGCGGTTGGTAGTCTGCAGTCTCACATTATTGCTAGGGATTTGTGGCCGGAACCTAGTCCATCCGGTATTACGAGGACACTAGGATTTACCTGAGGGGAAAGTGTTTCCCCTGGAGGGCTGTGAGCGGAGCTTGTGGAGGACCTCTGTTTCCTGGCTGCATCTAGTCCGAATGTGGCAGCTGGCGACAGAAAGAGCATCTAATTATAAGAAGCCACCTTTGAGTTAAGTCAGTAGTAAGCCTGCTGGGATGGCTGTCGTTGGGAGGACAGGGAGAAATTAAAACCCTTTTCTCCTGATGGTGGGAATATGCAGTGGTGCTGCCACTTTGGAAAACAATCTGACGTATGGCTAAAAACTCCTCATATGGCTAAACATAAGAATTATCATGTGACCCAGCTGTTCCATTTTTAGATATAGATCCAGCAGAAATGAAAACATCTGTCCACATAGAAACCTGTTTGCTCATGTTCATAGCAGCACTGTTCATAACAGCCCCAAAGTAGAACCTGCCCAGAATGTCTACCAGTGGATAAATAAACTGAAATGTACACTTGTGATGAAATATTACTCAACCATGAAAAGGAATAAAGTACTGACTTATGCTACATTGTGGAAGAAACCAAGTGAAAAAAAAAAAAAAAAAACAGACAAAAAGGCCCAAGTACATGATTCTGGGGCTGGGGATTTAGCTCAGCGGCACAGCACCTGCCTGGCAAGGTTGTGAGTTTGATGCCCGGTACTGGAAAAAAACCCAAAAAAAACCAAGTATATGATTCTGTTTATGTGAATAACCGAGAGTAAGCAAGTCTGTAGAGACATAAAATGGACTAGCAGTTGCCTGGGTCTGAGGGAGTTAGGAGTGAGGAGGGAGTTAGAGGATGATAGTGAAGAGGTGTGGTTGTTTCTTTTGGGAAGTCATGAAAACGTTCTACAGTTGTGGTAATTACATAACCCTCAATATGCTAAGGATCACTGAAGTATGCACTTTGATGGGTGGATTCCATGGTAGGTCATTAGATCTCAATAGAGTTGTTCATTGATGACAGCAGAAAGTCCTGCCGTAGCTCGAGTTTCCTTGCAGTGCATGTAGGTGGCCGTGAGCCAAGGCTGGTATCTGCGTTGGAGCCGCACCCCGCATGGTCAGACCATTGTGATTGGGAACGCCTTTGTGTCTTCCTTACTGCTGACCCCTAGTGTTTTCAGACTGCCCTTGGTGCATCAGGGGATGAGGAGAAAGTTCGCATCAGGCGCACCATCAGCCCTTTGTGTCAGGTTGGGGGGCTACACTGCTGCGACTTGCGATAATAGTGGATGATGTTAATGAAGATCAGTGCTTTACTCCTGGCTGAGGTTTACAGATAAGAATCCAATTTAGATATTGTAAAAGGTGAGATACGGACTCCGAGAGCCATCCCGTGACTTAATTTCACTGAGTCATAAATTACTGGACATAAGGCTTTTTTCCAAAGGCAGATTTTCAGAGAAGACACAGGTGTAGGGGTCGGGGCACTGGTGTTGTGGAGGAGGGCAGGGCCGAAGGGGACTCAGGGGCTTCAGATTTAAACGTGTAGCAGTGTAGCTGGGAACGATCTTGTGAAGCACGTTTGTTCTGACCCCTTGGGAAATGTTGCCCCTTTACCAGGAAAACATGCCGCGGTGTGTGCAGGTGAACAGATGCAGGTGGTGCTCGAATTTTACCGTAGTTCCCCATGTGTGACACCTGTGTTCCAAAACCAAGGCCCCCACAGGCTGCCCGGAAGTGAGGAGAGCACCACACCCTGTCTAGATTGTTTCTTTCCCTGCACAGCTGTAGTTTATCACTTTGGCCTGGTAAGAGATTAACAGTAACAATCAACCAGAACCATTATAAGAATCTGTAAAAAAAATGTAAAACTTGTGAAGGTTTCCTTTTGGAGTTTCCCATTTACTATTTTCACACTGTGGTTGACCTTTGGTAGCTGAAACCCAGGATTTGATTCGTGAGGATGACTGGTGGAGCCACCATAAAAATAGAAACAAGTTTATCAGAGGAATTTTTGGCATCCTCCCTCTTCGCCTGCTCCCTACGCGAGGCTGTCAGGTGAAGGCCATGGCTTTGGCCTTGGTTGAATGGCCTCCCTTTGTTCTTTCTGGAAACTTCCCAACTCTCTTATTGCCCTCCCTTGAGTTTCTGTGCTGAGACAGGATTGTATTAGGAGCTCCACGATTCATAGTTCTGTGGTGAAAGCTGAGATAATGATGTAGAAGCCAAGGACCAGGCGTCTGGACCATGTAAGAATTTGCTCACTGGAAAGATTTTGCAACTGAGGTCCAGGTTGAAGGGTATATACAACTTAACAGTGGGAAAAAGAACAGAACAGGTCTCTTTTACCTCAGTTCTTGTGTGTCTCGTGAGCAGGTCCCCTAAACAGAGTGACTCACGGGCTCACTGTGCTTGTCCCCACTGGGCGTCTGGGTGAGCCAGGGTCTGCCTGCGATTGCTGCCGCTTCACGCTGATCTCTGTGTGTCTTGGTGCAGAACGTGGCTGTGAGTTCGGGCAGCGGGCAGAATGACCTGGACAAGATGAGCAGCATCCTGGCGGCCCTGCCACAGGTGAAGTACATTTGCCTCGATGTGGCCAACGGGTATTCAGAGCATTTTGTGGAGTTTGTGAAACTGGTCCGAGCCAAGTTTCCCGAGCATACCATCATGGTAGGTGCCTGGGAGCATTCTTAAGGTGGGAAAGCACAGAGTGTCCGTGTTGTAGGGACCCGTTTTCCTTTTCAGAGCTTTGGTGTTCCCTTATTGTTAAAAGATGAATTGAGAATCCCGAGGAAAACGAGAGGCCTCCAGTATGGATGACCTAAAAATGAAGTCTTGATCAACAGTCTTGGCTCCTTATTTTTGCTAAATATCATCCAGTATTTCTTAATAGGTGAGACCTTTAAAAAGGGTCTTCGTCACCCATTCACAAAGAATATATTTTATTTTGATTTTTTTTTTATGTATTCAGTCAGTAAGAACTCTTTTAATTTTTTAAACTAGATTAGACACAGAGATGATACAGAAGTCATAAGCCACAAAAGGGCATAAAAGCAGAAGTCTCCCATCTCTGGCCCAGCCCTCCATATCCATCCCTGGAATGAGTGGCTGTTCCCAGTTTTCTTGAGTGTATGTGCAGAGGTATTGTGTACACACTAGAGTATATGTACAGTGTGCTGCTGTGTGTCTACAGCCATCTGTCCTCCATAGAAGGTAACACATTCTGTACATTGCTGGAGATTTTGTTCATTTAATGTTATACTCAAAGACCCTTTCATATTATTACATAGATACTGTTATCATTTTTAAATGGCTGGTATATACATTGTACCATATTGCTGTTCCTTTATGCTGTTTATGCTGTTCCCAATTGTTTGTATTATTACTAACAAAGTCCTAGCAAATATGCATACACACACACACACACACACACACATACCTACATATATATCATTTTAGACATCGACAATGGAGTGTTTAAATTCCTAGAAGTGAAATTTAAATAACTTAATTTTACTTTTTAAAGTATAAAATGTACTAATTCTAATAAATAAAAGTACATAAAGTCCCAGCAGTCCGGGCCAAAGAATACCTGCATTTTATGATAGACACAGACCAAACTGCTCTCCATAGCAGCTGTACAGTATGCATTTCTATAGCAATGCAGGACACAGGCATTTTCCCATGGTTGAGATCATCAAACATTTTTGTGCTAATCTTACGGTAATTTTCGTATTCATTTCTCTTATAATGAGATTTTATTTTTTTTCACTAGCTCAGTTTAATGTTAAGAAACCATACTTATAATTAGTGTGAATTGCAAACATATAAAAAATTTTTACAATGAAGCCATATTTCTCATGCAGTCAAGTTATTAGAATCACAAACTTGCTTATCCTTATTGTATATTCACTTGAATTTAAAAAGATGCTTAGTTTTATTAATGACATTTTTACATCACTGCTCATCCCAAAGTAAACAAGAGACAATTTAATAAACATACAAAACAATGAAAAAGAGAAAAAATTTTTAAATCTACAGAATGTAAAATAGAAACAAAGTGGTGGAGAGGAAGATGGGAAGTCTAGCAAGAGGTTTTTTTTTTACTGTGTAAACTATATGTAAGCATAAAGTTTATTATTTTAATTTATGAATGTACGATTCGGTGGCCTGAGTATATTCGCAGTGTTGCACATCTATCTCCTCTGTCCGCTTGCAGGACTTTTTCATCACCTGTGTAGAAATCCTGTGCCCATTAAACAACTCCCCATTCCTCTGTGCCTCATCCTTGGTAACTGCTCTTCTACTATGAGTTTTCAGTTTTTAGTTTTGAGTAGTACATGTTTGCAGTACATGATAACATTCCTTGTGGGAAGTTGGTGATGTATGTAACACATCTTCTTTTTCCATCCCCCCCTCACCTCGAACTTTTGTTCCCCCTCCCATTTGCAAAAGATCTGTCTCTTTACTTTCTGTTATCTTTTGCTTTGCTCTTTATTTATATTTTGGGTTTCTCATATAAGAGACACTATGTGATATTTAAGTTTATGTGTCTGACAACATTATAGTTTCAAAGTGCATCTACTTTTCTACAAATGACTCAGATTTATTCTTCTTTATTGCAGAGTAATACTGTTGTGTATATATACCACGTTTCCTTTGTCCATTCATCTGCTGAGCAATATATAGGCCTCTTACAAGATGCAGATATTATGAGTTCTGCTATAAACAAGGGTTTATATATATCACTGTAATGTGTCTTTAAAATTCTTTGGGGAAGATACCTAGAAGGGGGATAGCTGGGTTGAATGGAATTGCTAGTTTTGTTTTTTTGAGGAATCTCCACACAGATTTCCATAATGGTAGTACTGGATTACATTCCCACCAGCATTGTAGAAGGGTTTCTTTTTCCCTGAAGCCTTGTGCACCATTTGTTAATATTTGGTTTCCTGCTGATGGGTGGTTTTTCTGGAATAAGATGGAATCTTGGTGTTGTTTATTTTAAAATTGAAAAATATATAACAGGGTTTCAGTTTCACATATTCTTATCCTTGATACTGTACTTGGCAGTGGGAAATCCTGCTGTAGAAGTTGGGATTTGCAACATGAATGTTTGACGGTTGTATTGCTCTCGATGGCATCTTGGTTGGTGTTGTTTTATCTGGGACCTTAGTTTCTAGACTTTTCCTTCAGGGTTTGTATTTTCCCAATTACAGTCTTCACTAGATGGTGTATTTGTATCTTCTGGGAAGGGTGGATTTACAGAAAAAGGAAGTAAAAGCTCTGGAGTTAAAGTTGGGCTTTTGGAAAAACCTCCCTTAGTTGTGCCTGTCTTTAGGGTCTTGATTCTATGGTGCTTATAGATTGACCACTAGATCATCCACTGAGCCCCCCTACTCTTTTGAGTTTGGAAGTTGTGTCTCCTCACATTTCATCATTGTGAGGGGGTTGGGAGGCAGGGATTCTTTTCTGTTAATTGAGTTTAATGTTCTTTTCAGTGACTTCTGAGAATTTTAAAGGTGTCTTTTTATGGTTTCATAGCACACAAGAAAAAAGGAGTAAGAACTGTACTAAGGTCAGCCAGTTGTGCCAGGGTGAGAAGTGGGGTAGAAAACAGCAAGACGTGTGTTACCCTCTGTAAGAGTGCTGCCAGCTTTTTTTTTTTTTTTTCCAGTACTGGGAATCAAACTATCAACCTTATGCTTGCCAGGCAGGCGCTGTGCCGCTGATCTAAATCCACAGCCCCTCAGCGTTGTTATTTTTAAAAATAATATCAGTCACCTCTTTGTTGCTGGGGCAAAATACCTGACACATACAATTTAAAGGAGGAGAAGGTTTATTTTGACTCATGATTTCAGAGGATTCAGTCCATGGTTGCCTGACTTCAGGGCAGGAACTTTAAGACAGAAGGGCCTGGTGCAGGACAGATGCTCAATTCATGGCATTTAGGAAGCAGAAAGTAGGGGAAGAGCTGGAAGAGCCAGAGAGGAAGGGGTGGGAACCAGATACATGGTAAGCCCCAAGGTCACAGCCCTGTGATCCCCCCCCAGACATATCCAGAAGTGTGTGTCACTAATCTCCTAGGTGTCTCTCAAGCCAATCAATTTGACAATCAATAATCCATCCCAAGTAACAATAAGATTTTTTGACTACTATGAAACAGTAAGACCACCCCCTCAATGGAACTCATAAAACTTTTGTTGGTCTTTGTCTGGGTCCCTGACACAGAGCTTCTGGGATCTTCTTAACTTCCAGAATGATGGGAGCATTTGATTCAGCTCCTAATTGCCCTGGAATTTTCTGGGTGAGTGGAGCATCTTTTGTGCCAGTGAGGTAACTCTTAATGCATTCTTGGGTGGGAGTAGTCACCACAGAGACCCTGCCGTGGTTTGAAGTTTGGAGCTTTCAGCTCCACTCTGCATTTTCTGGAGAGGGGAGATGACTTAGAAATAGACTTAATAATCAGTTTTGCTTGCTTGGTGAAGCTTCCTCGAAAATCTCAAGAGTATGGTGTATGGGAAACTTCTGGGTTGGGTAAGTCATCCACGTGCCTGTAGGATGGTGTACCCTGATTCTACAGGGCCAGAAATTCCTGTGCTTGGAAGACATCCAGCCCTGAACAGTGTGTCTCTTTATCTGACTCTTCATCTGTGTCCTTTGTCATGTCCTTTGTGTCCTCGAATCAGTGAGCCATTCTAGCAAATTACTCAAGGATGCGAGGTTCCTTTGTGGGAACCTTCAGTTAGTACCCAAGCCAGACAGAAGCTGTGGGTAACCTGCCACTTGTGATTGGCAAATCAGAAGTGGGAGACAGTCTCGTGGGACTGAGTCTTAACCTATAGCTCTGACACTGTCTCTGATAGTGTCAGAATTCAACTGAATGGTAGAACACTGTGCTGGTGTCCACTGGGGAATCACTTGGTTTGTGATAAAGAACCCGTATGTTTCAGAAGTGTCCTGTGTTGTGTTGAGTTTGAGAGTAAGAGAGAGTCTTGGTCTTTGCCCATCTCAATCATCTGGCGTCTCTTAGGGGATTTATATCTATTCCCTTTCTTTTACAACATCTTTGTAAAGAGTGGGGACAATTATGAATTTGGTATATAGATCAGACATCTGAAATTTTGATTTGTTCTTTGGAATTTTCATAAAGTCTTGTCATTGTAGCAGAAAATGCCCCCACCCAGCCAGTGCACTTCAGTTGCCCAGGTGGTAGTTCCTGTTGCAGTTCCAGTTGCTTCTGTCTCAGGAGTGCCTGGTCACTGTGATGCACATTGTAAGAACCAGTCAAAGACAGCCAAGTACTCCACCTCTGTAACCCTCCCCTTTTTGCAACCCCATAAAACCTCCCTCCCTGGGCCTTGGAGGCCTGACATTTTGAGGAACAGTTGATTCTTAGTCAGTGCCTGTCTGATGTTAAATAAATCTGCCTCCAAGTCCTGGGTGTTGTTTCTGTGTTTCTGTTGCCATTGTATCATCCTTAAGAAGCAAAGCTGGAATTTGAAGCCAGGTCAGTTGAAGGCAAGGCCTATGATATTACATGGTCCACTAAGACTTGTTAATATACCCTTGTCCCTGTTAACGTTCCACAGGGAAGTATGTGCTGACCAACTCCCCTTATCCTGATCCCAGAGTGGTGGGAAGGTGGACCTTGGGCTTGCACTAGGGCATGA